ACACTTCAATGTTTTCATGGTAGACTGACTCATCTGTAGTCAATGGTCGTTTTCGTACTATTCGGCTACCCAGTGGTAGTCTGTAAGGCTAGGCTTAGGTCTATTATTGTTCACTGAATTAGGATTTGATCATTGAGTTTTTGAACTGTTATAATAAGTAAATACATTATGTTTAATAGATAGAGTGGAATTTTTATGTATGTTTAGTCAACTGATACCTCCTTACGAGACCAAATTATTGGCTTAAGCCCCAGACTGAACAGAAACGAGAAGATAGCTAACATGCAGAATAGTTACAGGGAAGGGATGAAATGGAAAACAACCAATTTACATCACGTTCACATCTAATAACTAATTGTATTTTGATCGTCTGGACCCCACAAAAATGCCTAGTTAGGACTCCTATAAGCATTGTTATCATAGGATAGTGTGATTATTTTAATCTGAATATAGACTCCAAGTAATAACTTCCATTGATTAGACAATTACAACTCATGGAAACTATGAGACTATAATCGAGTTGTTCACGTGCTCGTTACGCAACGCTGACTAGCCAGTCGGTCTCGTTCGCGGACAACGTAGGATCTAGTGTAATCGAAAATCGATTCCAGCTCCTATAATTCGCTTTAACACAGTGATAGGGTACAAACACGATAAAATTCCAAATGAAAATAACATTGAGTATTGATATCATTGTCGGTTGTTTTTAATCAGCTTATCATGTATATTGCGTTGTAATGTGATTATTTTGGGCAATAAAATACATTCTGTTCATCATCTTTCTTTTTATCGTGCTAGCTAACAATCCAAGTTTCCAATTAGCTCTACTTTATGTGGCAAATGAAATTCTTACTAAAAGTTCTAAATATGGCGTCTCTGAATTCGGTGAAGCACTAAAACCTGTCGTAACGCAAGCAGCACAATTTTTAAAGTTAGTTTTGTTGTTTCTTAAAATTGAGCACATATATACAGACCTGGGCCATTTATATCTAAGCTTACAAAGTTGATTAATTACTGGACCTATCGTAAAGTCTTCGATACCAAGTTTACTGAACAGCTTTTACAGAAACTAAGTAAGCCATTTCTTTCATGTATATTAGTATTTTTTCCTTTTTTAGATGCTACAGAACAAGTCGATAAGAAAAATATAACTCCAACATCACATTATAATAGTAATGCAGATAGTATAGTTAAAAACTTTAATGTAAGTAATTAAGTTAACCACTAAAATACGCTTGCTCTTTTTTAAACCACATCATATCTATGAAAATAGTTGATGGCTATTAGGGATTTACAAAATATTTATTTCATCCGTGTTTATAACCACTTTGTAGATCAAACTCTCGAACCCCTTTGGGAACTTAATCCAGGGAATTCGATCACCAATTAGTAAACTGGTGTCATTTTTTTCCAGTCCATGAGGATAGTTAAATTCTATCGATCAGGTTACACTATAGTAACAATAAGTTAGATATGGTTGATAGTTTGATTAGGTGCATACTTTTTAAAGCCCCCAAATGCCCTGGTACGGCCGAGAGTGGGGAGAGTCCGCTCTCCCTCTCGAAATGCTCTCACATGGCCACGCGTATATAGCCTCTGCCAGGGAAGTCCTACTCACTGCCTTCTCGTGGCACTACTGTTGTTTACGAAAATGAGAGAACGAAAAGCGAATATCCGGCGCTTTAACCGGATTCCAAACCAAATCAATGGTGCACATGGGCTCTAGTATCCTGCGGGAACAAATGGAGTATGAACCAATTGTTGGTCACCGGCTTCCATGGGACTGCATCTCCTTACGATGTTCCACCACCTTGTGGATCAGACCTTCAGGTCGAATGCTCAGGGTGTGGCCCCCTAAGAAAACCACCTGCTTCGGTTTGGGCACCCGGGCAGTATCACAGCCCTCACACATATCGAATGAGATTTGTGTGGTGCATATGTATTTGGTGCCTCCTTGTACCAATGTCTATGTGTTAAAATAAATAAATAAAAATACTTTTTAAGCTACATGTAGTATTTTTAGTTTGTTCGATAGAATCAAAGTATCTTCAGTTTGACAAATTAATCTGTGTCATTAACTTTCACACCTGGACAATCATGTTTCGTTGCACTAATTAGTCTCGTAATAGTATTCACTGTCACATTTGTCTGACTCAATGCTATTCAAATTCTACCAACCAATATGCATTATGCCTATCATGTAAGTTACCTGATATCTCATAGAATGTTTCGATGTCATATAGCTGAAGGTGATTATCAGGAAACATTGGACTATGCTAGTTGGTGACTGGTAGAAAGGTGTGTTTAGAAACCTAGGGCAACTAATACTCTCTGTAGTATTTGGATCCTTGTCAACCAGCATTACAATTTAAGTTTTTCCTGTATTACAGTTCATTGGTATCATAATTCCAAGATAATATTCTTTGCAATCACTCAACTTTTAATAGATTTCAAGTTACTTCTAATGTTTTGTCTTAAATAGCCTGAGAAGCTACTTGATACGTTACGCAAGATAAAACAACTAGATGAAATTTGTGAATCACACGGAAAATTCGATATTAACCCACTTGGTTACGGTACACCAATCTCATCAACTGTTAGTTCATTAAAAAGTAAAGAAGAAAGTCGATCATTAACAGGTCAAGTAAGTTTATTACAATTTATTTTTTTTAATAAACAACAATCCACCACAATCTTGATGCTTATATGAACGCGAGCACTCGTATCTCTGTGTATGTAGATAGGTCTAAGAATATAATTACACAGATACAGTAGGAAAATATAACAAAAAATCAGTCTTATTCATTCTCTACCATCGTTCAAACCTTTAGTCGGACGTCCAAGTTGTATTTTAGTTGCTGGAAATGGAATACCTTAACCACTTTTTCGCTAGAATAGTGTATTCGTCAACTATAAATTCTTTCATGGCGCATTTTGAAAGTGAATCAATTGAAAGGCTTGGATATAAACTCTGATTATAGGACTTGATTGACGCCTAATTTAAGTTCAAGATAAATTGAATGGAAAGTAATTATATTTATTCTTTACTAGTAAAGTGAATTACCTTATGAATGTTAAATACAAACCCATCTTTCTAAAACTTTCCTTCTAAGATTTCTGTGTATATCAAAGGTGTATAAAGCAAACAAAGCGAAACGAATTCACACCATTTCAAACTATTTTCCTGTTATTGCTTCCTAAAAGTTTTTCCAGAAGATTAATATTATTGAAAAGATGCCTCATACTTCTGTCTTGAAAACCTAATTTTTCAACTGTAAAGTAACCAGTTTTACTGGTCACAAATCACTATCTATGGCTGTTGTTGTCGCTCATATATACATTATTATCTGTTGAGATCCACTAGTATTACTGTACATCCTTTTTTCACTCATCCCCCATGAATTTTGTATAAAACTCAGGTTATCTCTCCTTATATAGACAGTTCATCATTTGTGTCTATTGAAGAAGGGTGTACCTGAGAAGTTTATTAACATCCTAAAAGCCCTATATACAAACACCTCAGGCAGAGTGAGAGCATACAACCACCTTTCTCCATTGTTCCATTCGAGCAGTGGGGTTAGACAGGGTTGCCCAATCTCACCATTCCTCTTCAACTTTGCCATCGACGACATTCTGGAAACAGCTCTGATAGATGTAAGTAATGGTGGTGTGGATCTGTTGCCCGGAGAAAAACTTCTCGACCTTGAGTATGCAGATGATATTGTTTTACTGTGAGATAATGCCAAAGGCATGCAATCCGCACTTAATCAGTTGGCAATCAGTGTCCGTATGTGTGGTATGTGCTTTGCACCTTCGAAGTGCAAAGTACTTCTACAAGACTGGCAGGATTCTAATCCTGTACTCACCCTGGATGGTGAGCAGATAGAAGTAGTCGTGTATCTGGGTAGCTGCATAAGTGCTGGCGGGGTGTGAGCGATGAGATCAATGCACGTATAGTGAAAGCCAGAGCGGCCTATGCCAATCTGGGCCACCTTTGGCGCCTTCGTGATGTTAGTCTGGCTGTAAAAGGTCGGATCTACAACGCGTAGGTGAGAGCAGTTTTGCTCTATGCTTGTGAAACCTGGTCTCTCGGAGTTGAGGATGTTAGACGACTCTCTGTGTTCGATCATCGCTCTCTCCGAAGGATTTCTGACATTCAGTGGCAACACCATGTTAGTAATGCAGAGGTTCGGCATCGTGTGTTCGGGCACAGATATGATAATGCAATCTATGTCACCATCTTGAAACACCGACTTGGGTGGCTTGGACATGTTCTCCGAATGTCGTCCCAGAGAATTCCACCTCGTGCATTATTTGCCGACAGTGGGACTGGTTGGAAGAAGCGGAGAGGTGGTCAGTGCATGACATGGTGTTGTGGTATGAAAGAAAGCTGCAAAGGACTGGCTTCTGTTGGTCCTTCACGACTACCTGGTTGGGGTCTGAGAGATGGTGCAACACAGTGGCTAAAGACGTTATCAGATATGGCTCAGAATAGAAGCCAGTGGCGATCCTGCTGTAACCTTTTTTTACTTTCTTCGTAAAAAGTGGTTGTATCTTCTTTAACTGGAAGATTTCTTCTGGTTGTACCTTTCCGTTTCCCCATTATTATTATTACACTTCCTTACACCAATCTCTTCGTTATTGTTCTCTTTTTTTCTACGCTCCTTACATTTTTTTCTTTTCCATCTCTTTGAATTCTCATTGTTTTGTGTGGTGCATACATATTTATGTGTTCAAATAAATAAAAAATATCTCTCCTTAGCTTTTCTTTAGTATATACTGCTTTACTACTATAGCTTTGTTTATAGTAGTATGACAACAACTTTGAAATAATAGTAATATGTCTTTTCAATTTTTTCCGAAATCACATCCCCGTCGCCACTGGTATGTCTTGTCGTTTAATGCTACTTTTTATATCTGATCGTCGTCGTTATCGTTGTGTTTTGGGGGTTAATAAATTTTCAATTTTACCAGTCTTAGTGTTCTTACTATCGTGTCGTGGGAATTGGAGAGGTCCCTCGTTCCGAGTATAAGTGATAAGCATTTCCGACACAACAATCAGCGACGACCAGGTATAACAATTAGCATTAACCGACAAGACATATCAAATAGTATGTCTGAAGTTTTGTGTAATTTCATGACGTGCTCTTATCTGGTAAATAATCATATGACTTGTGTGATAGGTTTATGTTGTCGACGGTAAATTTGATTGACATTACCGTGAACTAATCTGTAAAATATTATACAACACCAGTTTTGTTTACTTGGCAGTTTCACTTTGCATTAGCTATACTTCAAAGTAATATTAAGATTTAACATCAGTCGTATGACCCCCGAGCTTGGATAAAATCAGAGATAACCACAATTCCTAATAAACGTGTATTCTTGAATTTACGATTATTAAACGACAGTTTTACTAAATTAATGACAAATTGGGTGGAGAAAGCTACAATAAATGTTCAGCTAAGTTATATGCCCTATTTCACAACCAACTGATCGTTATGACCTAAAATAAGAATACATTTCCTAATTCCACTTCATCCACATTCACTTGCCAATTTGGCTTCTATGGAACTAGTTGCATCAAGCATACAATTAAGCATGTATGTCACTGAATATCATCTCATCTGGTTAGAAAGGGATACTAGTTAAGGTCAGTTGAATGTTTTAGACTGGTCCATCTAACTGTTATATGGGTCATCAAGTGAGTACAAATAATACATTTCGAATAATCCACTGGATAATTTCGTTTTATCCAGTCGAATGTGGGAATCAACACCTAAACGTTCTCATTTGACTATATTTATTCTTACAGTAATTTAGTGTCTAGTGAAATGTCTGTTCATTTTATATAACGAACTAAGTGGGAAAAAACACCTTATTTAAGATGTTTGTTTAAATCTTTGCGAAATACATTATTTCGCGAAACTTTGAATAGAATCAACCAAAATGGGAATTTTCTAAACCATCATTTTGAACTTTTTAAACTGCTTATCTAAAGTTAAATTCAAGATAGTAAGACCTCCTATCCTTAGTATAGTTGGTCGTTACAAATATTTCACTATTGTATTTCACACCGATATTCCTATAAAATACATCTTACTACTACATTCACCTAGCTGTCATATACTTACAGATTACCATGCAACTAGTTTGGACTACTTAACAGACACGTTGACGCACTACCCACAACAGTATTATTACGAATTATTCATCCTACTGAATATATGTTATGGATGCTAGATCCCCAGAAATCACTTGATAAACGTCGTATTTTTGTAATTTCAAATTTCTTATTTTTGCGCCAAAAGCGCTCATTTTTATCTTCAGATTGTATTTCCCATTTTAAAGGATCCTAAATGCCGTTGGTTCGTCCCCTATTTTAATGTGCTATTTTGTGACATTCCCCAAGGACATTTTTATGCTGTATTTATGCGCTTGAGCTGTGTGCTTGTTGTTCATATTTCTGGCTGCTTGTTGAATATACCTTTCCTTCATCGGAACCGGGTATTTGGGTTAGTGGGGCTGGGACACATCGGAATAGTTAAGCTTGTCTTGTCGTTGTGTCTCTAATCCTTCGTTCCGTTCGCCGATTTAGGTGATCTTGTAATCTCTCCAAACATAGCAATATACTAATGGCAAAAAATGAATGAACAATGAAGATTGTCTTCCTCACTGTTAATGTGATGTCGCAAGGAAATACGGATAGATATTTGAAGAGCAATCATTAAAAAGCTAAGTTTGATGCTGTCATTATTTTAACACTTTCGTTATTGATATGGTTAATCTCCTGTCTTGCTATACTGATGTGGTGTGGTGAATTCGAATTATTAAACGTTTGTGTCAGATCTTATACCGATCATGACTATCTGAAATTTGTATCTTTGCACATAGTGTTTAAATCTAGAAGTAACAACCGGTCATGATTAAATTATTAAACAATTTACCATGTCTTTGATATCCACACAAATAATTGATCTGTAACCAATAAAGTGTGATAATTTACGATCGTAAACATTTAGCCTCTTGTAGTTATTTCACTAATACTCTTGTTATTTTCATTAACGTTTTTTTTAAACAATTAGGTTGATAAGTGTTGTAAACATTTAGAATTTATATATAAGAAATATGAAGAACGCTTGGAACACATGAATGCGTTGCAAAGTATACTAGAAGGTGCAGAAATTTATTATAATGTACAATTGAAAGAAGTTGCTGTCGTTGTGAATGTAAGTTCTATGGCATTACTTATCTAACACAGTTGTATTACATTGAAATCATGAATCCATCTAAGTTAGATTACCATTCAAAACCTGAAAGCACCAGATGGCTGTTCGATCCTAGTGTGGAACTCTTCAGTAGTGCTCATCCACTATCCCGCAGGCGGGACTCGAGACTAGGACCTTTGTTTAACCTATAGACCACTGAGTCGGAATCCAACGATGTTAATGTCTAATCCCAATCAGTTTTATTATTTTATTTTAGTTGAACCAACTAATTCTGAGATGATGAACAGGTTATTATTATTAATATAAATAACTTTATTCAATAGTATACTTTTGATACAATATAGAATTCTCAATACAAGATATTTCAGCAAGTTTTTTTACAAAAAGAGTGAAAATAATTAATAACGTACTTACGCCTGTTACTCCTCATGAAGGAGCATAGGCAGCTCACCAGCGTTCTCCATCCAACCCTGTCCTGGGCAATCCTTTCCAGTTGTTATTCATCCTCTTCATATCTGGTTCCATTTCCTGACGCAGTGTTCTTTGACCTTGCTCTTTTCCGTTTCCCTTCAGGATTCCAAGTTAGGGCTTGCCTCGTGACGCTAACGCTAACTAATAACTGCATACGTATATATGCAAGTAGATAAACTACCTGGAATATATGGTATATTCGACACAAGATTGTAACTATAAAATGAAACATGCATCAGCGTTTGTGTTCTGTTCTGTTTTTTTTTTAAAAATTACTTCACGTCGCCTTTTGTGTCTTTTATTCGGTTAGGCCTATGGTACGTACGGAAAACGTGTTACAAAGACACTTTCTCAACTGCATGATTTAATCCATATGGATCATACTTCATCATCGTCATCACCATCTAGAACTACTACTACTACGTGTCAACCTGATCATAATAAACAGTCAACAAAATACAACAGAGAGAACTGTTTAAATGAATCATTTTATGCAGGTGATGAATATTATGAAGATTTAAATGATGGATTTACTCATCACGATGACGACGATGATAATGATGGTGTTGGCGTCGACTTGGAATACCATGAAGATATCGATGTTAATAAAGAAGACGGTAGTATCAACAATAATGACAAAACTGAAAAATTGAACACAAAACTGTTAAATAAAAAAGATATCGAATATTCTTCTGACATCATTAATAATCAATCACCGATTGATATATCCTCAAAAGTAATCACAGATAGTTTAACTAATCGAATCAATAATCAATCATCAAATATTTTCAATTTACTTGTTAAATCAAATAATTCTACTACAATTGGTAAAGAATGTGATTCCAAGTCATCAATGAATCAGTCCCAAACATTTCAATCAATGTGTAAGCCAACACCATTTGGTTTTCCTATTTTTCAACCAGTTTGTGATGCTTCCGGTGATGTAGATTATCGAGTATTATTAAATCCAACATTACCTAATTTAGTTAAAACTAATGATGATAATAATTCCAGGTAACTAATTTTGATGTTCTTTATTCATTTTACATACTATATAAATTATTATTTGATAAAATTGTAGTACATGAATAAGTCAGTTAAAATCAAATAGACAATATTTAAGATTTTTGTGCAAAATTCAAAATTTCCTTTTCAGATGGAAGCCGATTTGTTCGCTTCCACAGTAGGCTGTTGCTGATAGTATCCGGTCAACGGACATTGAGTATTCTGCCTAGACAATGATTTATAAATACTTGTACTTCTTTAGTGATAGTCGTAGTAGTTCTTGAAGTTTCACCGCTGTACAGTAGAACTATCTTGACGTTAGGAATTCAGATTTTTACTTTGATATCAGTTGACAGTTGTTTTGAGTTCCATATGTTCTTTAACTGTGGGAATGCTACCCTTACTTTGCCGATCCTTGACTTTACGTCTGCATCAGATCATCCTTGTTCATCGATGATACTGTCCGGGTAGGTACGTGAAAGTTTCCACCTCTTCCAGAGTTTCTTCATCAAATGTGATTGGACTGGTGTTTTCTGTGTTGTATTGGATGATTTTCCTTTTTCCCTTGTGTACATTGAGGCCTACTGATGTAGAGGCTTCTGCTACACTGTCCGTTTTGACTTTCATTTCTTGGTGTGCATGGGATGGGAGAGTTAAGTGATCTGCGAAGTCCAAATCGTCTAGTTGCATCCAACCTGTCCATTGTATTCCGTGCTTCCCCTCAGATGTCGAGGTTTTCATAATCCGGTCAACCACCGGAAGAAAGAGAAAGGGTGAGATTTAGGCAGCCTTTTCTGACGCCGGTCCTTACTTGGAATGCGTCTGTCAGTTGTCTCTCATCCACCACTTTGCAGTGTGGTCCGTCGTATGAATTCCAGATGATGTTGGCGATCTCAGCTACTCACTCCACATTGTCGAAAAACGTTCCACAAGGTCCTCCTATCCACACTGTCAAATGCTTTCTCTTAGTTAATGAAGTTGACGTATATTGACAAGTTCCATTCAATTTATTGCACAAAGATGATCCATGGTGTGGCGATTCGATCTGTACACGACCGATCCTTGCGGAATCCGGTCTGTTGATCTCGAAGTTGAGCGTCTACTGAATCTTTCATCCGGTCTGATAGCACTTTGTTAAGAACTTTTCTTGGTACCGATAGCAGTGTATTGCTTCTGTAGTTCTCACACTTGCTCAGATCTTCTTTCTTTGATATCTTGATGAGGTATCGTTATCTCTAGTCTGTCGATGGGACTTGTTCTTCTTCCCAGATCTTCCTGAATGGTGTATGAAGCATGTTTGCAGTTGCTTCTGTGTCTGGCTACAGTTCTTCAGTTGGTTTATTGTCAGGTTCTGCTGCTTTCACACTCTTGATTTATCTGATGGCCATTCTGATTTCTTCGATCGTTGGTGTAGTGACATCTATCGAAAAGTTTGTTTGTTCTGCTTTAGACGTCTGGTGAATTCAGTGGAGCTGGTCCATTCAGGAGTTCCTCAAAGTGCCCTACTGATCTGTTACTCTGTCTTTGAATCGCAGTACTTGGCTTGCCTTCTTTGTCCTTGACCTGTCTCTCTAGTTTACCATACTTCCCTGTTAGTTTTGTTGTTTGATGTTTCCCCCAAATGCCCTGGTACGGTTGAGAGCGGGGAGAGTCCGCTCTCCCTCTCGAAATGCTCTCACATGGCCACGCGTATATAGCCTCTGCCAGGGAAGTCCTACTCACTGCCTTCTCGTGGCACTACTTTTGTTTACGAAAATGAGAGGACGAAAAGCGAATATCCGGCGCTTTAACCGGATTCCAAACCAAATCAATGGTGCACATGGACTCCAGTATCCTGCGGGAACAAATAGCGTATGAACCAATTGTTGGTCACTGGGTTTCATGGGACTGCATCTCCTTACGATGTTCCACTGCCTTGTGGATCAGACCTTCCGGTCGAAGGCTCAGGGTGTGGTCCCCTGAGAAAACCACCTGCTTCGGTTTGGGCACCCGGGCAGTATCACAGCCCTCACACATATCGAATGAGATTTGTTTGGCGCATATGTATTTGGTGCCTCCTTGTACCAATATCTGTGTTAAAATAAAATAAAATAAATAATTCTTTCTCTTGCAGTTTTATCCACTGTCCTTGTTAGGTCTTCCACATATTTCTGCTTGTCAGCTCTAATGCTCCTCCCCACTTGCTTGGCTGCTTCAGTGTATTCAGCCTGTGCCTTAAATTTCCCTGCTCTTGTTCGGTTGTTGTCAATTGCTGTCTTCTTGTTCTTCCTATCTTGAATCTTGTCCGGTAGAGATCCATTCCTTATGATGTTGCTCGTTGCCGTCCAGCACCTGACACCTTGAAATTAGTGCTTGATTGATCGCTTTCTAGTTGCCCGTCATAGTAGTTCCCTCTTTCAGTAGATCCTGTGAGGCTTGTCACCTGTTGTTGGTAGTTATCTTGAATTCGTTGAGTTTGTCAGTATCTTGTAGGAAGGCTGTATTGAACCTTTGTACTGCTATTTCCCCAGCTGTCCAGTGTATCTTTAGCTTCAGTTTCATCTTGGCCACAGCAGGTAGATGGCGATCTGAAGCTATGTCAGATTCTCTCCTCCTTCTCACGTCTTCCATTGACCTGAATCTTTTAGTGGTGCAAATATGATTGGTCTGCTTCTGTGTAGTGTGGTCCGGTGATACCCTTGTAGCTTTGTGTATACGTTTGTATAGGAATATTGTGCCGCCTGTAACCATTTTGTTGGACGCACAGATTAGCAAATCTGTCGCTATCCTCGTTTCTCTTTCCCAGTCCATGCCGTCTGATGATATCTTCATATCCGGTGTTGTCTATTCCGACTTTGGCGTTTAGATCTCTCATCAGAATGGTGAGGTCCTTTCTTCGGCAATTCTCTATGATTGATTGCAGCCGCTCGTAGAATTGATCTTTAATGTCGTCGTTACTATCACTGGTGGGTGCATAACATTGGATAATATTCATTGTGATCCGCTCCTTCTGTGTTTTGAATGATGCTTTGATGATTCTGGATCCGTGAGATTTTCATCCTACAATTGCATTTCTTGCTACTTTGGACAGCATTAGAGCAACTCCCTGAGTGTGTGTGGGACCACAAGCTACTTTGCTCACCACTTCCATGGAGTCATCCAAATCCAGCCAGTGCTCATCTACAATTTCCGGTGGGTTGATAGTTTTCTCTGAAGCTAGCTCGGCTTGATATTTATTTACAACAGAAATTGCAGCCAATTTGCTGACCTCAATCCGTTTAGGACAATAAGTTTATTGGCTAACTGAAACGTAAAGTAAGGTTGGCGCAAACAAAGGCATGACCAGAGTCCAGATAGGTACTCCAAAAGGAGTGTCAGTCTTGTACACAACCACACCAGCGTTAGCCGATCACGATGTGACCAATCTGAGTCCAGGTTTTAGATCCAGAGGGCGGACGCCAGGTAACACCGCTATGACTATTCCGGTAGTTAGTGCTAGCCAGGAACAGTTTGTAATCTGCGAAAAGTTGCAGTAGATGGTCATCGTCATCTGATCCGCGACCAACAAGTCCCCATCGGAAACCTAAACGACTCTCCTCTGTGCCTAGACGCCCGACCTAAACACTCAAGTCTCCGGCTAGTACTACAATATCTGTTGAACGCACTTTCTGTAGAAGAGCACTTAACTGGTGGCAGGATTCATCCTTGATCGCATCCGGGTTGCAATGTGTCTGGACGTAAGTGGAAGTAACAAAAAGACATCTTTCCTCACACCGACTTGTTATTACTTTGCTGGGACCTTCTAAATCTAACAACACATAATTGACTGTTAATGGAGATCCAATCAATCAGTGTTGTCTCAGCTCTAGCGCTCAGTGCGACCAGACGAAGATGCGACAGGGTCTTTTGATAAACGCATGTGAAACAAGATTTTAAATGGGCAGATGGAGAGCAGATTCACTAGAGTTTTAAATACAGGTATAATCCATATGGCAGTGGAGCGACGTTAGATAATGCAGTCTCATGGTACCCGGTGATCAATAATAGGTTCATACTCCATTTGTTCCCTCAGGTTCCCGGAACCCATGTTTACCACTGATTTTGAATAAGGGCTTTCCATCTCTTCGAGGCGCATCCTCCGTGCCCACCAACCCGGTTTAAGCTTCGGCCATTCACTTTGCATCCTCTCAATTTCGTCAACAACGCCGCCGCCAGAAGGAAAGTAAAACTACCCTGGAAGTGACAATATAGACGTCGTCATTTGTGAGTACTGCGAGAGGGAGAGCGAACTTACTCTCTCCTGCGCCAGGACGTTCGAGGCTAGTCGTACAGAAGAATTAAAACAGTTATCAGCAATTGTCAGGTGGTGTAACATTACCAATCAAGTTCCTAATTTTCATTACAATGGATTCTATCTCAACGGTTTAAAGTTATCAAGCTTACTCAGATCTTCATTTGTAGGGAGACACCATAAATGACTGAAGTTGATAAAAGCTAAACGAACTTTATCAACCTGTAATAAATTTTGCCAGACACCAACTCACCACAGTTGATGAGATATCCACGTACTCAACAGCTACCTCTTATCATTGGTTTAGACGTTAACTAAGACCAGTTCTAAAGCAACATCTTCCACTTAGAATTAGAGAAATGAATCACAATCACGCTTGTATTGTTGCTCAAAGCTATCAGAGGACTGCGTTTTCTAAATCGCTAAAAAATCTCTGTATTAGATAAATCTCTGAAAAGTTATCTGTATGTTATATCTAAAAGAGCCGTAATGTAGGATAAAGCAGGTAAGTGGCTCGTGAGGAATATTAACTTCTAATCCTTTTAATGGTTGCTATTTTACGACACATTTTTTATAATTCAATCTTACCCACATAGACCGGAAATGATCCCAACTTCAAAATTACAAGATCCAATAGTTACCAATCCTTCAGAAGTTAACCCTATTAACTCTTTATCCAGTATGCCTAAAATGAATCCTCATGACACTTCCGTTGTTGTTAATGCCAACAATTATTCGCATAAATTTAAAAGTTTACATAAAACTGTTTATTCAACTTGTACCAGTTCAAATACTCAGAATAATAAAGATACTGTCAGTGATTATCATCATCAACAACAACATGGTCATGATAAGACGATAAATAAAACAAGTCATACCGCTGTTGATGATGAAGAAGATAATATGGAAGTATCAGATGGCGAAGAACCTTCTGATATAACAAATCAAAGTATACTGGATAAAAAAGTAAATCCAAATGATCAGTCTGATGTATGCTCACAACAAGATAAAGATTGGCGTATATTTACTGAAGTGAAATGTAATGTAATGAAACCAATAAACTGCGTAAGTTGTATGTTTGTTTTTCCTGATTATCAAAGTTATTGTCTAATTGAAAGGGTTTGATTGAGATTAGTTTAATTGTGTCCATCATAGATGAGTTAGGAACAACAGTATAGCATAGTATATTGTTTTGTAAATCATTGGATGTGTGACGCGTCGTCGACTATTGATGGTATCTGTCCTTGTGTACTTTCTTCCAAACTCAAACTGAGGTTGATAATGATAATACTACTACTAATAATAATAATAATAAGCTGATTATAGCGTAGTTACACTTAAAAGTTGTATGATTCTATAAGATTTTTTTGGAAACTGTAATCATCGTAAATTATTCCCAAACCTCATAAATTGTGTTAATCAGGTTGGTTTATAGTAACGTAATATACTGAATTAGTTTAGTTTGAGTCATGAAGCTTGGAAATTAAAAATAATATCAGGAGGGGTTTGTGGAGATTTTAGAAATTTTCACAGATTGAAATCATGAGTCAGTTGAAGCTAGACCACCAGGTCTGTTGTGAGATATCAGCTCACTGAAGACAATGATGTAGGGTGGCACAACTTCGTGGATTAGTTGAAGTTACACATTAACACCGTTGGATGCCAGCCGGCTCAGTGGTCTAATGGTTAAGTGCTCGCGTGCGAAGCCAGTAGGTCCTGGGTTCGAATCCCGCGGGGTGCGGGATCGTGGATGCGCACTGCTGAGGAGTCCCATACTAGGGCGAAACGGCCGTCCAGTGCTCCCAGGTTTTCAATGGTGGTCTAGCTTCAAATGACTCATGATTTCAATCTGTGAAAATTAAAAATAAATTAAGTAACGGATTAGTTTTCCAACGATTTCAGAAAGAATTAATGTGGTTGTTTCTTATCATATTCAATGAGACCGTTTGTAAACATTTATAGGAATGTTAATTTTGTGGTTTACACCACGGGGTGACTTTAGTTCGACAGCTACTAAAAATCCAAGAAAACTGGACAGTTGTTTCGTCCTAGTATGCAACTCCTCAGCATTGTATGTCCATGACACCACTAATTTTCCTGTTCATAACGACTTCGATTCAGTATGAACAAGATACTGTTCCCTTACGGTCTTTCTGACTTTTTTTTTTCATAGCTAACTGGAACAGCATCTGATAATAATCCTACAACTCCTACTATTTCGCCCAACAATCCAGTATTACGTTTGACTGTGCCATCTGAATCTTTTATGCAACCAACTCCACCACGACCGCCTACGTCTGTACGTATTCCTCCTCCTCCGGCGCCTCCACCATTTGTTGTTGGGGGATTAGATAGTCAACATTCTTTCAGTCCACCACCTCCTCTTCCTTCAACATTGAATGAATTAGCTTATCAGCAGCACCATATAGTACTTGTGGCCAAATCCGACTCATTCATTCCACAACCTCCAGCACCACCACCAATGTTATTGAATTTGAAACAGATCAATACGACTATTACTAGTAGTGCTAGTAGCAACAGTAGTAGTGAATTGACAAAATCTTCTGAACAATCATCTGTCAATTCTTGTGAAATTATCCAGTCGGAAAAATTATCCGCTATTGATATATTAAAAAATCTATGTCAATCATCATCTTTACAATCGTCAAAATCATCTTCCTCCTCATCGTCGTCGTCATCATCATCGTCATCATTCAATTTTTCTTCTAATGTTATGACAACATCAATTTCTTCATTTATTTCTCCTTTTTCATCTATACCACTGTCAATATCCACATCATCATCATCATTATCTACTAAGAATGATATTACTTCTTCATTGTCTAATAGTAATATCCCATTATTATCACCTAATAATGTTCAACAAGATATAATAATGAATTCATTAAATTCTATTAAAAATCTACCCATTTCAACTTCTTCTTCATCATCATCATCTTATGAGACAAATATTCATCAGAATGTAAATAAGAAAATGATAGAAGATCCATTTGCTGTTATTTCTCGTTTAACTGGACTATCAAATTTAATGAAAAAGTAAATTAATAGTCATTTATAAATTGAATTAATTATTGTAATAAAATCTTTTTGTGACAGTAAAAGTATAGTGAATACAGTAATAGTTTAATGAATAATATTTCTGGTTAGCGTTTTTTAGCGAGTTAATTTTCTACGGGATGGGGTCGCTAAACCAATGCCCAACCCTCCTCCTTTATCCGGGCTTGGGACCGGCAGTAGCCCCCAGAGGGACTCTAGGCGGAGTTAATAGTTTAATGACTAGATGTTTAATTTTTGATCACTAAGTTCAAAGTTTAAACTCTACTTTGTCTATTTCTCCTTGAGTAGTAATCAAGTAGTATTACTAGTTTTTACACTTAACCTGAATCTTATATCCAAGTACCTGGTTTTGTTTATTTTATTTATCTATTTGAACACATAAATATTGATATAAAGGGGCACCGAATAAATATGCTTCACATAAGTCACTTAATTTGTGTGTGGGTTATGTTACCGCCCGGATGCCCAGATCGAAACAGGTAGTTTCCTTAGAGGGCCACGCTCGGAGCCTTTGACCCATAGGTCTGATTCACAAGACAGTGGAGCAACGTCAGGAGATGCAATCCCCCATGCTATCCGGTGAATTAATTAACTGTATAAAGTAATAAACTAATCAGTATCGAAAGAACAATTATCTTAATGCGCGAATTTCAAAATTCAATGACTTTTAATCATTTTGTCACATTTATAGGTATAAGCAGGATTCAAAAACAAATGCCCTGGTATGGCCGAGAGTGGGGAGAGTCCGCTCTCCCTCTCGAAATACTCTCACATGGCCACGCGTATATAGCCCCTGCCAGCGAAGTCCTACTCACTGCCTTCTCGTGGCACTACTGTTGTTTACGAAAATGAGAGGACGAAAAGCGAATGTCCGGTGCTTTAACCGGATTCCAAACCAAATCAATGGTGCATATGGGCTCCAGTATGCTGCGGGAACAAATGGTGTATGAACCAATTGTTGGTCACTGGGTTTCATGGGACTGCATCTCCTTACGATGTTCCACCACCTTGTGGATCAAACTTTCAGGTCGAAGGCTTGGGGAGTGGCCCCCTAAGAAAACCACCTGCTTCGGTCTGGGCACCCGAGCAGTATCACAGCCCTCACACATATCGAATGAGATTTGTGTGGTGCATATGTACTTGGTGCCTTCTTGTACCAATATCTATGTGTTAAAATAAATAAATAATAAGACAAAAACAAACCATTCAATGAATAATAAAAGCAAGTACATACATTAGATTCTTATTCATTTACAAATAGAACACAATTTTGTATTTATTGAAAAGTGTTCAATGTTATTCAAATATATTCGTTGAGATACAGGTTCAAATTGATTGTACAGATTTCATTCATATCGTTTATGCCCCTCTACATATTTCTTTCTTCTTTATTATCATTGGCAATATATTTTTTCCCACAATATGACAGTTAATAGATGAAGATTACTTTGTTAGGGTCCGTGTGATAACCTAACTCCAGCGGTTGGATACGTTGAGTAGCATGGTTCAGAATCGTTCGCAATGGGTTAAATATGAATTCACTTTCTTCTATCCTCTCGATTTTAAGTCTCAGTATTCCTTCATACATATCTTACCACTCTTCCTTTTCAAACCATGCTCCCCAGAGTTTATTCATTCTTTTATCACTCCTACTATATTATTTAAATTTCTTTCGTTATTTCCATCTGGTTGTACTAATTAGGTATAGCAACTTGGGTCAGCATGCATCTGTCCCATGCTCTATACTTATATTGTCTGTTTGCTGTCAGTAATCATCGAAGTGAAGCCTGTTACAGATATACATTGGTCCAAATCACTATACTCCATTAGCACGATGAGATTAAATTAAGAAGATTTACAATAAAAGAGACTAAAGTAACTTAGTAGCACCAACAATAAAAAAAGAACCAAGCACCGAGAATAAAGTTTCAAAAAACCAAATAGGAATGTATCTATGAAGAATTACTAGAATCCAAGATCGAGAGGAAAATAAAGAGTGAATATATCTACACCATTGTGAACGATTCTCAGTCATACTCTTTTTTTTCATTCATGTAGTATTTAAATTAGGATAATAAATCGCATTTTATCTAATGCGCCTATTGATTTGAAATTCAGTATATTTTTTTATTACTTATTAAATTTTTCTTTTTCCCGCCTGTTTACACGTCCTCATGTGTTGTTGTAGCATCCCAGCACAATCGAATCCTATTACACTGTCAGTTACTTCCCCTGTTCCATCCAGTAACCCTGTTCTGGAATCTTTTCATGATACAATTATTTCTACTGGTACTACTATCACAACAACAACAACCACTGCTGCCACTGATTTATGTTGGAAAACTAACCACCTAATGAATGATCCATTGTTATTGTCATCTACCAATAATGATTTTAAATCAATAGATTGCGTTCAAGAAGCAATAACGACCAATGCAACAATAACAACAACAACAACGAATGTTTCCAATAATTCATATATTCCATGTGTCAAACGATCCAGATTTTCGGATGCTATCAATATTGAAGATAACAGTAAAACAACTGTTCCATCATCAACCACCAATGCATTATCCACTACTAATGTGACTATTTTATCTTGTACTACCCCTACAACGACAACGACTATCTCATCATCGTCTACCAGTTCTGATCTACTACGTTGTTCGATCGATAAAAAATCATCATCATCATCATCATCTGTTTCTAAAACTTCAATAAATAATGACAATGAAGAACAATCGAAATTCTCTGATCTTGATAAAATTAACTCGATGAATAGTAGTAATGATAGTGATAGTTCTCTAGGCGGTGGTGATACACCTACTTTAGATGAAAGACAAGATGATTTATTATCGGGTAATAATGATAAAGATCAATCTCTGATATCATTTCATCCGTTTGGTACGCCAGCATGTAAGTAGTTCTCTTTCTGGTTTTTGTTACTACACTACTTCTAATATCAAAATAATATACTTCATCTTTAAGTGTACACTGTTAATCCATCATAAGCAATGTAGAATCTAGCATATTGTTTCATTCCCAAAAAGCTCTTATACTATTATCAATACGGCAAGACAGAAATTATCAAGATAAATTTCAGAATAGTAGACGCAGTAACGATCTCATTGGTAGTAGGAAACATTAAACATAGACATTATAATTCGAAAAATTTTGATTTTATTGAATTGAAAATGTGAATATTTTGAGACAGTGATTTAATACATCTTTGCTATTACGATCAGTTCTCGTCTGTGTCGACTGCTTCACTTATCTTGGAAGTGTCATCAGCCTTTGTGGTCTGATGTGTAACGAAATTAGCACGGATACAGAAGGCTCGAATAGCTTTTGCCAACTTGTGTCATTTATGGCGTAGGCGAGATATCCATCTAACAAACAAAGGACGGGTTTACTGCGCAGCAGTTCGTTTCGTCCTACTTTATGGCTGTGAAACATGACCGGTAGGAGTAGAAGATATTCGTAGGCTACTAGTATTTGATCGTAGGTGTCTCCGAAGCATTGCTTGTATATCCTGGGACCATCGAGTAAGTAAAGCAGTTGTTAGAAAACGGGCACTAGGTAAGTATGACAAATCAAGTGATGAAGTGGTGAAACTTCATCAGTTGAGATGGCTGGGACATGTGTTACGTATGCCCAACGACCGACTGCCTCGACGTGCTATGTTTTACGGTGTTGGATTCGGTTGGAAGAAAGCTAGGGGTGGCCAGACCGAAACATGGCACAAGTCCATGAAGTCACTGACAAGTGGACTGAATGAGCCATGTTGGTAGGTGTAGACTACCTGGTTGGGAACCGCGAGATGATAGCAACCGATGGTTAGAGACCCTGAATGACATGGCTCAAAATCGTTTGCGATGGTGCAGGTGTATCCACTCTTTGTGTTCTCCCAAATTCTAATCTTCTGAATTCTTCATGTCTCTTTGTTTTTTCTCTTTGCAAATTTATTTCGCTGTATTATACTCCTTGAATAATATCTTCAAACCCTAATGTTTCCGATTACTGCTTATACTTTTACTATCTCTACCACTACGGAATTTGAGTCGACAACTGCATCTCTGTGCTAATGTGGTATGGCAACTCGAACTGATGTACGTACGTACGAAGTTCTACGGTGTTACTGACTGACTGTGGCTTTCAACATCTCCAACTGCTTGTTACGATAATCGTACAGACTTTAATATATCAATTGAGAATATACATTTCAATCAATTCTCTTCAGGTTTTTCAGTATGTAACAACGTGGAACTTCGAACGTACGTACACCAGTTGGAGTTGTCATACCAAATTAATAAACCTAAAAGTTATCAGCAAAATACACCTATTAAAATTTATGATTGTAAAATAAAATTGTTCACTAATTCTAAACAGATGTATGGTAGGAATGAATAATAGTGCTAGGTATATGAATTTAAATAAGCAATTTAAGAAAACTATATGAACACAGTGAATTAATTAAATAGATAAATTTTAATAATTGAGATCATGAGTCAATTGAAGCTAGATCACCATTGAAAACCTGGCAGTACTGGATGACTGTTTCGTCCTACTGTTGGATGCGCAATGCTGAAGAGTCTCACAGTAGGACGAAACGGCCGTTCAGTGCTTTCAGGTTTTCCATGATGGTCTAACTTCAATTGACTCATGATCTTAACTAATAAAATCCACAAAGCCCCTTCTGAAATAGATAAATAATAATAATACATCTCGTAGTTACAAACGCTCTTCATTTGCATAAAAAAACTTGTGTAGTAAGCACTGTAGAAGTGACTAAAACATTTAACATTTTCGGGTTCAAACTCCCCTCCACATAAACCGATGGAGGCCACACATGTAACATAGGTAAAATATATCTCAATCCCAAGTATACAAGCTCGTAGTTGTCAGGTGAATTACGCATGATATGTGTATAAAATACTCTTAGAAGTTTGGTGAATATATTTACTTAAACTTATCACTACCGTGTGCGTTTGGAAATAATCGACGATTTTGTGTCTTGTGGTAATGGCATTGTTGTCGTGTGACAGGCGAGATCAGTTATTGTATAGTGATAATTAAAATGGTTTCTTCTTTTTTCATTTGGGCCCACACTAAACGCTATTTGGTCATAAAATATCCTTAAAACTGTGATTTCTGTCTATAGGACAATAAAACATAATTTTCAAATTTGAATTCTTGGATTTTTTCTTGTTTATCAGTCAGTCACAATGTAAAACCTGGTAAATATGTACATCGGTTTAGATTGTCATGCCCCATTAGCAGAGAGAGATGAAATTGTCGGGTCAAATCCCAGAATAGTAGAGGTAGTGATAGTGGTAATGGAAAAGATTAGGCATCGAAGATACGATTCGAAAATAAAATATGAATTAGTGAAATAAAACACAGAAAAAGTTACGAAAAATTGAGTATCTCAGAATCTGGAGACGACACAGGTTGGATGCATCTGAACCATTGCAAACAATTTTGAGTTGTCATTCAAAGTCTCTAACCATTGTTTACAATAATCACGCAGACTATCTATAGTTTATAATCTAATTAAGTGGTTCTTTAGTCATAGTCACACAAAACTGGTTTTATGTTGCCCATTTTCCTTCAATTCTTTGTAATTTTCTAGCAAGTTTAGCGGATTTTTTAATTCCCAATTCATGTCATGGAACGGATCCAAAATCTTTTCTGTCAAATATTCCTCATAGTATCGTTTCACAGACTTCAATTACTCCTTCTCCTATTCCATCATTAACATCTGGATATAGATTACCATTTTGTAATCTTTCAAATTCTATGAACAATACTACTTCAATTCCTGTTGTCAATTCAATGAATATACCTTCAACACAATTATCAATGATTCAACCAACTGTACTAACAGCGAATAATAATCCTAATTTGCCTATAACGAATTCACAGGTATACTGAAGAATTTTGTTTGTATATATATGTGTTTCTATATATATATATATATATATATATATATATATATATATATATATATATATATATATATATATATATATATATAATTGAACAATAAAATTTCTATTCGTTTAGTACGGTAAAGATAACGCTACGAAGTGACATCAGCACTCATGCCCGTAACAAAACACGAGATCAAGTTGGTCACAATGACTGACTGACAATTAATCCCAATTATCATAGCACTGGTGTTGTTTACGAAAATGAGAGGACGAAAAGCGAATGTCCGGTGCTTTAACCGGATTCCAAACCCATGGTGCACATGGGCTCCAGTATCCTGCGGGAATAAATGGCGTATGAACGAATTGTTGGTCACCGGCTTCCATGGGACTGCATCTCCTTACGATGTTCCACCGCCTTGTGGATCAGACGTTCAGGTCGAAGGCTCGGGGAGTGGCCCCCTGAGAAAACCACCTGCTTCGGTTTGGGCACCCGGTCAGTATCACAGCCCTCACACATATCGAATGAGATTTGTGTGGCGCATATGTATTTGGTGCCTCCTTGTACCAATATCTATGTGTAAATTATAATAATCCAACCATCGATTAAAATTATCTCCTCAACTGCAATTTAAAAGAATATAATCACCTGCGACATGGTTCAGTCCTAAGGTTTTATTAGTAAAATGGTTATATCGTCCTGTTAGCGGGACATAGACTAGATTAAAGCATGCTCAATGCATGATTGTTTTGGTGCACGCTGATTGGCTGATTCTTATCCAATCAGCACCAGTCGATAGTCGGAGAATATTCTGGAATCTTCTTATGTAAAAAACTATAAATATACCGACGTTTTGCCCTATTGTGCTTCTGATTTGCTATTTGGAATATAATCTTTTTCCTGTTCAACCGTGTTTTGATTTGGGGACTTGTCGAGTGAATCGGTGTCCGAGAATACTAAGCAATAGGAATAGCTGGGTCATAACCGTAAGAAAACCAGAGTTATAACAGTGGCGACGGGGAAAAACTAAAGAAAAATGGTGATTTCTTTAGAACAGTTGCGGTTAATATTACAGCACCAGCAGAAGTTGTTAGCCTTGCAACAACAACTATTGAACACACTTTTCACTCGACCAGAAAATAAGAAATCTGTTTATGATGCAGTAACAGACATTTCAGAAGCATATCTAGTGGAGGGTTCAAATCCCTTTATACCTGAATCAGAACGTAATATTTGTAACGTGTCCGGCTCACAGCAAGAAAATACTGTGCTGAATGCACATGAAGTTGTGACAATACCAGATGATCAGGAGCCAGATCCTGTAGATGAAGCCCGGAGTCCAGAATCAAATGAAACACTACTGGTACTGTCTAGCTGCAAAAATAAACGTCAGCTCGAACAAAATTGTGGTCCACGTGCTATTAGTCGAGAAAGCTATGGTGACTCGTATTCAGAAAATAACTGGAGCAACACGATGAACCAAATTGCACCAGATGTTACTCAAAATCACCGGAAGACAGAATTTTATATTGAGTCAACTTATCCCATTTCTAATGACAGTGTACCAGATATTGATTCTCAGAATAATGCATATGATTTTGATGAACCTTCTTATAACAATGAGGGAAATATGTCAGCTGAGTCGAATGATGGCCAAAAATCTAATCTAATTCTGTTAGACGTTGACTTTCTTAATGACTCGTTATCTGCTAACGAGATTCATAATAAATTTGAAAATAATGAACTCAGATCAAAGGTTGTTCATCATCATCTAGTCATTTTTAGTGGATTCTCCAGTCAATACGAGAAACATGGTTTAAATAAAGTCGTACTAGTTGTAATTTGGAGCCATAAGGACCCAACATTATTTCGAGGAGGAGGAGAATGTTGGAGAATTAAAAGTTATGCATACTTTTTTTTAAGAAAAATCAAAACGCCGGGAACAGACACGTCAGTTTCTGTGCAAGAAAAGAGTGATACTTCTCTATTGCCTAGACGATGGACTAATCGAAAGCACAGGCCAGTCACTCAGTTGCAGTTGGACCCTAGCACCAGATCCTACGAATCTGCTCAGAGGGGAGGTGTTAGCGGGACATAGACTAGATTAAAGCATGCTCAATGCATGATTGCGTTGGTGCACGCTGATTGGCTGATTCTTATCCAATCAGCACTAGTCGATAGTCGGAGAATATTCTGGAATCTTCTTATGTAAAAAACTATAAATATACCGACGTTTTCCCCTATTGTGCTTCTGACTTGCTGTTTGGAATATAATCTCTTTCCTGTTCAACCGTGTTCTGATTTGGGGACTTGTCGAGTGAATCGGTGTCCAAGAATACTAAGCAATAGGAATAGCTGGGTCATAACCGTAAGAAAAGACAGAGTTATAACACGTCCGCTTAGTGTCGGAATAACACTCAAGTTTGTTGCATTATCAGCACTTTAATCTCTTGTTATTATCAATTTTTGATAATTCATTTTTTTTATTCAATCGATTTATTATCTATAGGTAGCTCCTGGACTAACTCATTCAAATATGATGTTTTATGATCCAATAACAAGAATGCCTATTACTCCTAGATCATTAGTACCTGGACCTTTTATGATCTCACCTCAGCAAACACGTTCAATAGCAACAGTTCCAGCACAGAATAATTTACAATTACCAACTACACTATTTCGTGGACAGAATTGGTCACAATCGTTAGTCAATCAAACAACATCGTTACAACGTCCTCCATGTAATGATTTTTGGGCACTGATGAGTACAGTTCCCCCACCTCCTCCTCCTCCACCTCCACCACCACCACAACAACAACCATCAACTTTATCCCAACCGTCTACACTTTCACCATTTAATCCAACTCAAATACGTCAACCATTAATTGGAGGAATGTTGCTTAATCCAAATGCATGGATGTTCTCTTCAACTAATCGAGATCAAAAAAAATAATAGGAATTACATCGGATAGTACTTCCCATCTTCATTCTGTTGTTTATATATATTTATATCTTCTTTGGATTATCCATTCAAAAAATATAAAATACATTATACTTTACGTATCATTATTTTCAATGCTGTACAGGAAAACAATTCATATTGAGAATCAGATTCTAAACAAAATAATTTACATCATTAACTACTACTACCACTACTACTACCATAGTCTCAATAATTCCTAATTATGATTGACCATAACTAACAAATGTATATTTTGATGATTGTGTTCTTTTTCTTTTTCTTAACCAAAAACAAATTATCTAATCTTAGTTTTAAAATAATACATGTATATGAGATGAATAGGGGTATGTATTTGTGTGTCTGTCTGTCTGTTTGTATCCATGTGAGATAATCAATTTCACTTGGAATTTTAAATAGTTTCCTACTTAAAAGTCCACTTTTTTTTAAAAAAACAAAAAGAGGCAAACAATATATATGAATGAATATAAATATATGTGTGTGTTTATGATTGAACACTTTCACATGTTTTTTATTTTCTCCTTGTACATTGTCAAAGCTTTTAAAATGTATTTTATATGATGTGACTTTGTTTTGTTTGTTTTTTTAGTTTTGCAAGTGTTATCTACAATGAATATTAATATTGTTCTCAGGACAATGATGGTCATGATAGAAAAATTAGGGTTCGAATTCTATTTTTCCTTTAGACTACTTACGACAATGATGGTAAATTAGTTGATGAAGTTGTGAATCAAGGGATCTCTTTTCAACGAATTTATTATCAAGCTGTACAATCGTATATATATGAAAATTTTGTAAAAGTACTAATTCCGTGAGGAAATGTGAACGATCACCTTTAAATTCCAGACTTATATAAAGGTTTTTCTTCGTAACGGAACAACTAGGTTTCTTGTCACAACTACTTTTATTCATATTCTTTTCTATGTTGTGAATCTTCATCGACTGAAATGGTTGGACCACGTGTGACATATGTCTGAACACCGATTACCACAATGCGCCATGTTGACTAATATTGAAAATGGTTAGAAGGAAGTTAGGGGCGGCCAAACAAAGACGTGGCATCAGTCCACATAGTCACTAACTTGTAGTCTGAGCCATGTTGGTAGATGCAAACTACTTGGTTGGGGTCCGCGTGACTATCGTAACCAATAGTTGGAGACTGTGGGTGTCATGGCTCAGAATAGATTAACAATGGAGTAGGTGTATACACTCTCTGTCTTAACTTAAACTATGAGATTAAAATCGCTTCATATCTTTCTTTCCACGTACAAATCTTTCTTCCTGTACTATTCAACTCTGTCCTGGGCAATCCTTTTCATGTCTGCTTCCGATTCACGACAAAATATATTTTGATCTTCCTCTTCTCCGTTTCCCTTTATGATACCAAGTTAACACTTGCTTCATTACTTGTCTGTAATTTATTTTTGTCTGAATATAAATATTGAGTCACGCTTGACCAAAGCGAGTTGGTTCACTAGCCTTATCTGCGCAACACTTCGTTTCTCTAATTGTCTGTCTAGATCAATGAGTGTATGGATTATACGTATTCAGAATTAATTCTCGTACTTAACTTATTTTATTCCATTGTTCTCTAATGCGAATTACGTCGATAAAAAATATACGTGGGTTAACAGCATTTATATTTCGATAACACTCATCATACGATTTAACTGGAGTCAAATATAGGGTCAAAAAAGTACTACAATCCGTGATGGAAATTTATTTTAACTTAAACAATTAATCTCTCTATCTACGATTTCAGTCAGTCATCAACAAAGTAGAACTTCGTACGCACGTACATCAGTCCAAGTGGCCATACCACATTAGCACAGAGATACAATTGTCGATTCAAATCCCGTAGTGGTAGAGGTAGTAAGAGTATAATCAGTAATCCGAAAGATTATGGTTTGAAGATATTATTCAAGGAGTATAATTCAGTGAAAAAAATTTGCAAAGAGAAAAACGGGGGATGGAGAATTCAGAAGATTAAAATATGGGAGAACACTAAGAGTGTATGCACCTGCGCCATTGCAAACGATTCTGAGCCATGTCATTCAACGTCTCTAACCATCGGTTGCTATCATCTCGCGGTCCCCAACCAGGTAGTCTACACCTACAAACATGCCTCACTCAGTCCACTTGTCAGTGACTTCATGGACTTGTGCCATGTTTTGGTCTGGCCACCCCTAGCTTTCTTCCAACCGAATCCAACACCGTAAACATAGCACGTCGAGGCAGTCGGTCGTTGGGCATACGTAACACATGTCCCAGCCATCTCAACTGATGAAGTTTCACCACTTCATCACTTGATTTGTCATACTTACCTAGTGCCCGTTTTCTAACAACTGCTTTACTTACTCGATGGTCCCAGGATATACAAGCAATGCTTCGAAGACACCTACGATCGAATACTAGTAGCCTACGAATATCTTCTACTCCTACCGGTCATGTTTCACAGCCATAAAGTAGGACGGAACGAACTGCTGCGCAGTAAACCCGTCCTTTGGTTGATAGACGGATATCTCGCCTACGCCATAAATGACACAAGTTGGCAAAAGCTATTCGAGCCTTTTGTATCCGTGCTGAGATTTCGTCACACACCAGACGATTTAAAGAATTTCAATTGTATATTGAGGAAACTAGTTTATTAGATGTAAGCCTGAATGAATAATACAAAATAACTGGCCAGACAATCAATAATATTTGAAATAGTTGTGTAGTAAACGAAGAATCAGTTGGGAAAGACCAATTTATTGTTTAATGCCAAGTTACAGAGTTCATCCTCAAAATATGAAGACCATACATTTAATACTTCATTTGTGAATCTTCCATCAATCGTACTTTGCATCCTTCATTATTACTCCAATTCTCCGTTCATTTCTGTTTTCTTCCGTTCAATATTCTCAACCTTCTTTTAACAGGCATTCCACTTCTGATCGGTGTTACATACTACTTATATCTGTCAACATAAGTAGCATATACCACAACAGGTTATTATAGTAGCATAGAAATTCCGCTTGTTGATAAACCTCAAATTTATTCGTCATGTTACTATTTAATGTCTCAATCTTCGAGGTATAAATGCACGTTTCATTTCAGCACAATAGTAAATACAAGAAAACATTACTGACCATTTGTAATCAATGGATCGTTGAGAAAAATTCAGACACTGAAGAGTGACATCAAACAGACATTTAAGAAAACAATCTAACCTAATGAATGAAGCATATCAAATGGTTAGGTGAATGATATGATTCGGTGAAATAATACGTTCATAATGAAACGGGATGCATTGAATAACACGAACACATTCGCTCTTCTCCATTATTTAATACCTTATATTTTACCGAACCACAAGAATATCTGAAGATAATACTTGTCGTGTGATTTGTAAAGAAATATTACTTATTCATTTGTCGCTTGTTACCCCCTCATGAAAGAACACAGACCGCTCACCAGCATTCTCGAGTTACTAACGATTGCAATCCCGAGTAAAGGAGAAGGATTGGACATGGAGTCAGCAACCTTATATTGTAGAAAACAACCCTGCTAAAAAATACTAACCAGAATAAACAAATTAAACAATTACTTATTCACAATAAAACAAAGATTTGGTTACCACAAAATAATAGTCGAATGCTTTACATTGATTAGTTTAACAATAAAATAATCTGTTCAAACAGAATTATGGATAAACTGAAACAGAAACACACTGAACCAATAGGATACATCAGTTCAAGGACAAATGATAAGTTCCGTATGTATGCTGCATTTGTCAATATTTGGTTTGAATTACTGAAGTAATAGATATGCGCTATTGGTTGGAAATCTTGGGGGGGGGCGACGGATCTATATTTCTGGATGGGTTTGTGCCAATATTTCAATTTGAAGTAACAGGTTGAGCTTGCATATCAGTGCCAGAATCGGATGGCCAGCGAACACCATATATGCTTTTAATATAATAGTTGACAGACCATCATATCGATTTATGGTAAAGCTAGTTTTTTCCATTATTTATCCACAAGTCAATAAATAATTCATTTGATCCAATAAAACGTTTCATATATATGTCCAGTATATTGAACATTTGATGTATTGACTTTCTTAGTCAATTTTTACACATGCACAAATGAAATATAAATGGGAACTATGAAATGAATTTCACTTTCAAGATTAGTTTTAGGACAGAAAACAAAGTGATACATGGTTACCAGGGCACTTTTTATTTAACCTCCTGATGAGTGATTAGTCAGATTATGTAGATGGTCTGTGATATATATATATATATGGTAAGTTATAAACAAAGAACCTGGCACATATGTGCATCGTCACAAGTTGTTACAGTGTATTTGCAGAGTTAAATAGAAACTAGGAAGAAAAATGCGGTGGAGGTAGTAACAGTATCAGTGACAGTAGAAAAGATAAGATATCGACAACATAATCCGGGAAAAAAGGATGAATCCATGGAATAAAATGTATAAGATAATCTTTAAACTCAAGATCTAAGAAAAGAAAAAAACAATGAATGCATCTGGGCTATTTCAGATGATTGTAAGACATGTTACCTAACGTTTCCAACTATTGGTAACGAAAATCACACTGACCAGGTAGCCTGCACTCACCTTCATGAAGCAATTCAACAGTTAACTACCTCAAAAAATGATATCACTTCCTGGTCTAATTACACCTATCTTTCTTTCAACCTACTCCTAGACTAGCAAAACTAGAACGTTGAGTTAGGCGATTAGGCATACGTAGTACTTGTCCTAACTACGTCGGTTGATAAAGATTCACTACTGTTATGACTTTATGTTGGGTTCGATTTTTACCCTGTGCTAATTGTTGTGTCCTTGACTGAAGAGATTAGAGAGCAGCGTACTTATGGGTCGACACGTAAACACGAACGAACGGCCTACAGTTCTGATTGGTCCTGCTTCCCTGTCCAGCCCAGCCAGTTGAGTCCAGAACACAAGCCACAGCCTCGGAGATATGAATCATTATATTTCAAACATACTTTGTTTATATACCAATCAAGCACACCACATCGTACCATAAAATAGAAAACAACATTTTGTACAATATTCAACAAGTGAACAGATATCGACCAATAGGAAATGTCCATCTAAAGTCCAAGGACACCATTAGACTTAACATGATAATTATTGGTCTATTCCTCTGCATCCACAACAACTACCTTAATTATCGTGAGATATAAAAATTAAAGCGAAACAACTGAAAGGACTTTTTTGATTAAAAAAATAACATAATTTGTGTCACAGATTTCAGTTTAATAGTTATTAAAAACCATGAACACCCGGTCATCTCCTCTTTTTTAATTATAGAACTGCTAATTAGCGCATACGCAAAGCCCCACCGAGGATCAAACCTATGACCTTCAGGTCTCACACTAAGTGTCTAAACTTGAAACCATCAAGTCAGCATTTAATGATTTATATTTCTAAATTCAATTAATTTGTGGTATTGCACGGTCATCTGCCGATGTGATTGATGAATAACTATCTCATATCCGACATGGTTGGACTCTATTAGTCACGGCATTTCAAAAAAGAACTTTTAGAATCCACCTCTTATAGCTAGTAACCAATGAACAAGCATATGATTATTATTACTAAACAAGAAGTGACTATACGAAGACTGATGAACTTCATGTTGGGATATTCAGAAAAATATCCCAGAAATTATCCTGTTAAGTCTAATGCTATCCTTGGACGTGAAATGGCATCATTTTCCTATTGGCCAATATTTATTTCACGTACCATTTTCCTGTTGGCCAAATATTGTACAAATGTTATTTTCTATTTTATAGTACGTTGTGGTCTGTTTGATTGGTAATATAAACTCAGTATGTTTGAAAATATAATGATTCATATCTCCGAGGCTGTGACGTGCGTTCTGGACTTATCTGGCTGAGCTAGGCGAAAAGCAGGGCCAATCAGAACTCTAGACTGCTCGCACTTGTTTACGCGTCATCGATCCGATCGATAAGTCACTGCTCTCTGATAGACGGTTACAAGATATAACACTTCATAATATAAAACATGGGCTAATGGTATTATATAGGCAACCATTGAAAAGTTAACACTGGAAAAAAATAACCATACAATAAACGATTATCATTAAAAGAAATATTTTCTTTTCTTTCGAAGATCTGAAATCTTAGCATAACAAATTCAGCTATGCAAACATATATATATATATATATATACATACGCAAAAGAAAACAGTAATAATAATCTAAATAATCATGAGAGTCACAAGCAAAAAGGAAAGGAACATAGAGGAGAGAACGATCGAAGCCAGTAACAGCAGTAGTAGTAGTAGTAGTGATAACAGATGGGTAATATGCTGTATCAGTCTCTTCCTATAGGTTAAACATTATCCAACATCATAATTCATCTTTAATATATTTATCTGAATGTAGTTTATCATTGATCATTGGTGATAATGATGCTGCTGGTGATGATGGTGATGGTGATGATGAGATAGTGTATTGTTTTTCATAAATCACTGGCCATTCAGTTAATGATTGACATGTAGATAATTCTGTATTATAATAATTTGCTTTATATAAATAGATTGGTCCATTTGAACAGAAATTATTCAAAGTAGTATTGAATAAAAAGCCCATAATTGAACGTTCTTCAACAATACGATAAGTAAATGTCGATGAACTAGTCCCAATAAAATATCTTCAATGAATATTAAAGGGAAAGATACATATAAGAAATAAACAATGATAATTCAGTTTTATAAAAGCTTCATTATATGATTGAATAACATTGAGATTAGGACACCTTTTCATCAGTGAAAAATATAAATATAAGAAAATATGGATAGTGACTTATAGAATGCTTATGACTTAAGGCTATATCGAGACAATCTGCATAGGATGCATATACATCAATAAGAGACGAATCAATTGCAGTCCTAAAACAACAATGAGAAGATTCAAGTAAATAATACCAAGTGAATTTATAAGTTTAGCCTATTGCACAAGTAGGTGGCTATCAAGACTAAATAGCTCAAGTGGATAATGCGATGGGGTTTTAAGTGGACGGTGCCCGGTTCGAGTCCTGCAGTGAACATCAACTCTAAGAAGCAGGTACATCCAGCTGAAGAGTCTTAAATAGGACGAAATGCATGTCGTGGATTCCACTGCTAGCTACCATCCATCTTTACTTATAATGCTTTTGACTTAAGATAATATCGAGGCAATCCGAACAGGTTGCACATATGTAAATAAGTGAATGATGAATTGCAATTCTAGACATCAGTGAGAAGATACAAATAATATAAAATGAATTTATATAAATATATGATATAAAACGAAAGAATTTGCAAAGAATATGTTGTTTTGAAATGATCAATTAACTTATTTTAAGTTTTCTACAGGTTCTTAGACGTTGTGGCTAGAATGTAGAAATATTTTACAAATACACTAAACTCTAATTCTAACCCTGTACACTACCTATAACTTCAATAATAGGTCTAAGCCTTACTCATATCTAATGTATACTAAACTCTAAATCCTAATCTCAACATAAGACCTAACTTCTACAGGCAAATAGGACGAAATGCGCATCAAACTGGATTCCACTGTTAGTCACTATCCATCTTTGACTAACGGAATTAGTTGTATAATACTTTTTATTTTAATATCACACTGTAATCACGTAACAGTTGCATTGACTCAATTGATTAAACGATGAACATTTCAAAAAACTTATTCAATGCTTTAAACATTCTTAAGGATTCCATTTGCAACACTATCGAACTATTGAGATTTAAGTATGGAGATTTATGTTTGAACCTACAATCTAACTACGTTTTTAAAAAAATAGAGATGGAGTATGACTAGCAATGATGTCAATGGAGTGCATGTTTCAACTCATTTGAGATTTATAAATTGGATATTAATATACACAACAAAGTCAGAATCTTCAATACGAACGTCAAGACAGTTCTACTGTACGAAGCTGAAAGTTAGAGAACTACAACAACTATCATCAAGAAGGTACAAGTATTTATACTCCACATCCATTGGCCGGATACTATCAGCAACAGCCTACTGTGATAGAGAACAAACCAGCTTCCAGTTGAGGAGGAAATTAGGAAAAAACTATGGAAACGGATAGGATATACACTACACAAATCATCAAACTGCATCACGAGGCAAACCCTAACTTGGAATTCTGAAGGGAAGCGAAAAAGAGGAAAGCCAACGAACACATTACGTCGGGAAATGGAATCAGATGTGAAGAAGATGAATAACAACTGGAAAGAAGTGGAAAGTATTGTCCAAGACATGGTTGAATGGCGAGTGCTGGTAGGCGGCCTTTGTTCCTCCACAAAGGGTAACAGGCGTAAGTAAGTATATATCAATAAAGACTGATCAACTCCAGACATTTCAACGTAATTGAAAAAAAAATTCGAATGATTTACCATTAAATAAACATTTCATTCTATTTCAAGCTTTAATGTATTACACTGAAAACTCAATAAAACCATCAACCTATCAATAGTGAATATATAGATATATATACCAAAAAAAAGCCTTTTATCTCACTGATTAAACTATTATTATTCACAATTGATTGATCACTGGGTGGTGATCAATCTCATGCTTGTCTAGTCCTTTTTAGTGCAGATCGAATGCTATCGATCATGTTGCAATGTCGCCACCAGTCTATGTAATCACAATTGATTACATCTCAGTCCTACAGGAGGTTAGTCACGACTCGGATAGCTCAGTGGTAATGTCTCTGACTGTGAAGCTGGGTGACACGAGATCGAATCCGCCAGGGAGCACCAGTTCCCTCAAGATTGCACGTACACCTTGCTGGCGAGTGGCAAGTAGCACGAAACCCGGGTCCAGGGTTTCCTGTTGACTACCTCCAACCACCATCTAATCTCACTATTATTATTATTATTATAAGAATGAGAAAATATCATATTCTATTATTATTTATCTATAATTAAAGTTCTAAACAACTGCCAATATGAACCAACATAATAAACCTGAATTAAATCTATTCAACTTTACTGAAAAACGAAAATAAAACAAAAAAAAAGCAAAGGAATGTTGAAATAAAAGTTAAATTATAAATTGTATAATCCTATAAAATAACTTAGTTGCCATGGTACACAATGGAATCAACTACATATAGATTCTACTTTAAGGCATTTTTTTCCTTAAAAAAAATATCAGCAAAACCGAGTGAATTACTGAATATTCGCAATTATAATTAATTTTCTAGTGATAATAATAATAGTAACAGTAGTAGTAGTAGTGTGGTGTGTGCTACTTATATTGAAATAAGTAGTATATGATGTTAGTCATGAACAGAAGGTGCGGCAGCAGAGAGACAAGAGGATCGAACAGTAAAGAATAGAAACAGAATACAATTTGCATGAAAATGCATGAACAATGAAATCTGAATGATTTTGAGACAATCGATGGACATTTTACAAATTAAGCATTTACTTTATGATTGTTAGATTTCACTAACGAGTCCTGTAATGTTGTGTCAAATACATTCTATTGTTCCTACTGATGTTCTGTTCACTACAGTAGTAGTAAATGAGTAGTATGAATAGATCACAACGAAAAAAAAATAAGAGAACCATACTTAGAGTAATATTACGTGTTTCTAGTAAATAATAGACAGAATTTAACTATAAAAAAAGAAGAAAAAGCACATTATTATTTCTATTGTGTTTGTTCAATTGAATCCTATCAAAGAAACAAAGTCTTTATATTTATAAATAACAATAATCATCAATTATAATGAGTAAAGATTATGATTATTGATAAAGAAACAATATTCAGACTCATTCAAGGCGATCAAAGCACCAAGTAACACATTTACGAGTATGATCACAATAAACATAAATCAAAATGAAGAAGAAATTTAGAATAGAATAGATAAACGGAAAACAAGAAATAATGAGAACTGGGAAGATTATAGTAGATGTGTCACATATATACACGTACACATACAGTTGACTTTACTCTACTGTAACTAGCATACCCAACCTATCTAATCATATATATATAGTTATATTATTGTACCGTCATGGGCCGGGCTAATTTTACATTGGTTTTCAGGAGAATCAGACACCATCCAGACTTTCATGTGACAACCCAAACAGTACAGCTCAATCTCTTTCAATAGGAGAGCCAGACACCGCTCAGGCTTAAATTTTATAACCCAAGCAGTACAGTTCAATCGCTCTTCACTGGAGAACCAGAAACCGTATAAACTTTAACGCTAAAATTTGAATAGTATAGCTCAATCCTGTGGTGCAACCACAGAGGTACCAAGCACTCCGGTGCACTAATATATATTAACAATCCATAAAAATTGTATTTGGATAATGTATATTGTTATGACTTTATGTCCGGCTTTCTATTACGTGATTTATCCACCAATCAAAATACGACTTATACAATCTTAGCACTGTGCCAAAACCAATGACGTTCGACCGGTATGGGCAGCCTAGCGTCCTTATTGGCCGTATGTCCGCTTAGCCCATCCACTTGAGTACAAACACAAATACCAGCTCCCAGTATGTGAATCGAATCGAATCATTTATTTCAGACATACTGGGTTTGTATATCAATTAAACAGACCGCAACGCACCATAAAATAGGACATAACATGTGTACACAATAAAGCCAAGAAGTGACTGTGAACATGGGAGGCAGTAGTTAATAAACTGAACATAACTTAAGAACCGTAAATCGTATAATAATAAATTATAGGTCAAAATAAAGCTTATCATAAGAGGAATATAAATATACATAATCTAACTATTGAATAGTTACATCATAAGAATATATAGATATTATTCAGTTAATTTGGTTCAGAAGTTACTCATTATTAAATCTTCTCTCGGACATAATATACATATATATTATAGAAGATAATTCAACATGTTACAATGATAATGTAACCGAGTAAACCAAATATAGTTTTATTATATATTTGATTCATTGAATGATATTGTTTTATGCCAAGACTAATCATAATCATTATCTTTTGAACAGAAATCAATAAAAAGAATGTGAAAAAAAAGAGTTGAGATAGAATATCTAATTATTAATAATTAACTATCATTCTAATTATTATTATTATTATTATAATTTATTAATTAATTGAATAAAAATTAATACATAAACTAGTTTATAGACAAGATTTATTTTATGCATATGTGTATTGATGATTTATTTGGAATTATTAGACAAGTCTTATAATAAGATGAAATGATCATTCAATTATTTTCAAATTTACGTTACGTATACCTGAACACCGATTACCATGACGTGCAATGCTAACCGATGTTGGAGATGGTTAGAAGAAATGAAGGGGTGATCAAATCAAAACGTGGTATCAGTCCACACAGTCACTAACTTCTAGTCTGAGCCATGTTGGTAGATGCAAACTACTTGGTTGATGCCCCTGTGACTATTGTAACCAACGATTGAAGACTGTGAGTGACATGGTTCAGAATCGATCACAATGGCGTCGGTGTATACACTATTTGTCTTCCCTTAAACTAAGAGATTGAAATCACTTCATATCTTTCTTTCTCCCAACTAATTCTTTCTTCCTGTACTATATCCTTATATGCAATCTTTCTTTTATATATTACGACCATTGACTTAACCACTCCTATAAATCCGGTG